ACCAATCACTGAGCGATACACTTGCAAACATATGTATAAAAGGTACCCAAAGGTAGAAACCGGTGGTGCTTGCTTTGCAAACGATTGCCAAGCACCCCTCTCTGCACAGACTGGAAACAATAAAGATTAAGTTGGATCCTCCACCCCTGTGTGTTCATTGGCAATAGCGCACCGGGCACGAACTCACACTGTCCTTTGGAGACAACAACTGCAGGTAGCTGGGATAACATCTGAAAAATAGAAAATAAGAAACTTTTTCCCACATTGATAGTTCATTTTAATGTACTAAATCTGCACTAAAAAAAGCAAATACAGGGCTTACTATTTAGCAAAGAAAATAAGGCACATACTGGTAACTCAAAGATCTATAGTGTTATGTGCAATGACATTCAAATGAAGAGATCAGTCCAAAGCTGCCTATACTTTTCTCACCATATCATACATCAATTCTACAGATTCTGTGATTTAATTGTTGTTGACAGTGCATTGTTAAAACCCTGGCCACTGTTATCATATACTGTCCTATTTCAAAGCTCCAACACATCAAGAAATGATGGGACACTACCTGCCAGCTAAAAACAGCTACAGAAACCAAAACAAAAATACAGTATACTAACATTTCTATGTAAAAAAAATAAAAAAGTATTTCCTAAGCAAAAGTCCATTCAGGTATATTGTCACCCTGAAATATCATGGAAAAGCAGGATTCTTCTGTTAGTGGAAAAATAAAAGAAGGTCAAGAAAAAACTGTGAATGCACCCAGGAAAAAATAGAACAGTTCAGTAGAAGATTATTTATGTTTATTGTTCCCTAAAAGAACCACCAAGAAAAAATAATCACTTTTTCCACCCCTGTTTTAAATGTTGCAGTGAGGATAAAGGAGAAACAGGAATTATACCTGATATCAGATAAATCACAATCACCAGAATTGTGGAGCTGGGGCTAAAGGATGTAGCGGCAGCGGGGTGAGCTCATGGCACCACTGCGGGACTGCCAGGCCTGGCAGGATGCTGGACTTGCTCTATCAATCCTCAGAATGAGAGAGCAACAAAAATGGGGGCTGGAGCACGTGACTTATGAGGAGAGGCTGAGGGAACTGGGCTTATTTAGTCTGCAGAAGAGAAGACTATGGGGGGATATGATAGCAGCCTTTAACTAAGCAAAGGGTGATTACACAGAGGATGGAGCTAGACTGTTTTCAGTGGCTGCAGATGACAGAACAAGGAGCAATGTTCTCAAGTGGCAGGAAGGGAAGTTTAGTTTGGATGTTAGGAAAAACGTTCTCACTAGGAGGGTGGTGAAGCACCAGAGAGGTGGTGAAATCTCCACCTTTGGAGATTTTTAAAGCCTGGTTCGATAAAGACCTGCCTGGAATGATCAATTTAGGGATGGTCTTGCTTTAAGCAGGGGGTTGGACTAGATCAGCGTTTCTCAACCTGTGGGCCATGACCCAAAAGTGGGTCGTAAGAATATATGAAAGGGTCGCAAGCAAACTTTAAAAATGGATCAACAAATTTGAAAAATGGATTCTCCTTTAATAGAGAAAAACATGGGAAACTGTGGCTTTTCCCTTGCAGGCTGGCAGAGTTCCAGCCTGCAAGGGGCT